GTCTACCTTTCTCTGAATAAAAGAAATGAAGAGAAATAATAAAACCTCAAATGTCTGACCTGCCTTTCTCTTACTCTACACTTACCTAAACTGAAAAACCCAACCTAAATCTATGCTGTAGTCTAAAGGTCCAGTGTGTAGAATTTAGTGGCATCTAGTGGTGTAGTTGCCAATCGCTACTGCCTCGCTTCCTCCTCCCCTTTCAAGCACAAAGGAATAACTACAGTGGCTGCAAAATACATGAAAAACCCCTTATCCAGAGCCAGTGTTTGATTTGCCCTTCTGGGTTACTGTAGCATGGTGGTTCAACATGATGGCCTCTGTAGATAAAAGGCTCATTCTAAGGTAATAAAAACAACGATTCTTATTTTCAGGTGATTATACACTAATGAAAACATACCTATGAATATTATATTCAATTTCTGCCAATAGATCCTCCTAAAGGTTATACATTGGACCTTTAAAAAAACAAGAGTCACAGTGGCATGCTGCTTATCCATTCACGGCCTGACAACCTTGCACAGAATTTTAGCTTGTAAATTGCTTCCTCTTGGTTGGAGAGCTGGACTGGGTACCTCTCCAGTCAGGGTGTTCAGGTTCACTGTAGGTGTCCTCCTAGCGTTTTTTCTGGATGCACCCATCATCACTATGTCAGTTGAGTTGAGTTGAGTCAGAATGTTAACCACACTTGTTTTGAAAGTCTAACCATACGTTGCATATTTATTCTTGCTAACCTGACCGTGGAATCCTGCGTGTCCAGAAATGGCGCGAGAGGGACACCTACAGCGTCATGATTCAAAGCAGAGGGCCACTGACCAAACGGCAGTATTTTCACGAGTTGGCAGTAAGAACGTGTTGTCATGACAGCAGCCAGGAGATGGGTGGCATCGGGACCAATTCCACACAGGACCACACATTCTATATGTATATACAGCATGTATTATACATACATGCAAAGCGCTGCAGAAGGGTAAGTCACGGAGGCTGTGGCCCGACAGCTAATTAAAGTTCACTGAGAGAAAATACATGTTGCTCACATGTCGCCACCGGGGAAAGGATTTGGCCTGTGATGTGGGCAGTCTGCGAGAGGGTCAAGCTTTGAACGGGAGGGAAGATGAATGGAGTGGTGGTGGCGGGAGGGTGTGGAGGTCGTGAAACGGAGCGGTGAACCAAAGGCCTGAGTCAACATTGTTTATCCTCCCTTTCCTTTCATTTGGGACATTGGTTGGCCATAACTAAAGCATAGGTATACGCTCATTCACATAGAATAATACACAGTTGGCCATAATCCTAAAGTATATTTATTTTGTGTGCGTGAACTTCATTAGAAACACTGTGATTCTATCTATGTAGGGTTAAAAGCTGATCTTCATTCAGCTGATGAGACGATCTGTTCTTTCTTAAAGCCAAACACAGGGAAGAATGTCCTCCTCTTTCCCTCCGCTGGCATGTGAACGTCTCATCCAGCTTCGCTAACTATCACTTTTGAATGTAATGACAGCGTTTCTGAGCAAACTGTGTGTTCATTTTATATCACAGTGAAAAAGCTCCATACTGTGAAATTCAGCATTCCGAGCTACAACACAAGATCTAGTCTTTCCTCTGTGACCATACTCAGAACATGTAGGGTCACGCTTCTTGCATTTAGTTACTTTCTCGGTTAGTGTGTGGACAGGTTTATTCAAAAAGGAGTACATTTATAGAGCAACTCGTGCTTAAGCCTCCAGTTTAATGTCAGAAAGATTTTCTTTGACATGTGTGGGGATGTGTCAAGATCTTAAAGGAAAATGCAATTGTTTGGGGGGGGTTTTGCAGACAAAGACTGTTTGTTTTTTCACTTTTTTCCCCAATATAGCTAAGCTAGCATAGCGGATTGTGATACTTATACAAAAGGTACAAAAATACAGGCCTCAGACAATTAAAACATTAGGAAACATGCTTTTATTCTCTCTCTAAAAATGAACTGAGAAGATTAATAATGGTAATGTTTGTGCATTAAGTAGCTGGAGCTAGAGTCAAGACGTGTTTTGTCTAGCTTAGCATCAAGACCAGAGGCAGGGGAACCTAGCCTGGCTGTAAAAATGTCCACGGACCATGTACAAAACCATTTATCTCAAAATGAGAAGAGATCATTTCTGCCAGATTAAGCTATCAGCTAATTTCCATCAGCAGGCCGAAACAGAACAATCACCAGACACTAAAAATAATCTCTATCACCAACAAATATACAGACAAATCTACAGCCACACATCAACTTATAAATACAAGCACATTCGTCCAGTACACTTATAAAATTACAATTATAAGACATTGTACAGCTATTTGCTGGAACTATTTCTTGGAAAACAGCTGTGTGCAGTGACTGTGCAACATCCCAAAGTCCTGTCACATTGAGGTTGCCAGGTTTGGTACAATGCCTGCTCAGAGAACAAAAACTAAAACTGTGCCCATCGACCTTATCTGGCAACCCACACTGTGGCAGGAAATGCAGGACTGAAGTACCAGGCGGACGGATTAACTGTTGCTCGGCCCTAAAAAGCTCATAAGTGTATTTGTTTTGCTGTGCTACAAGTCTTTATACTAAACTAAGCTAAACAAATCTCAACTCCAGTTCCATACATAAAGGAAAAGCACCCTGGTGTATTTCCCATAAATGTGAACATTGTGGCAGGTCATGCTACCTTTACACTCATCACCTCTGTTGTAGAGATTCATGAACTAAACTGATGATACTTCTTCAACAAACTGCACTTATCTCCACCCTTCTGTGCAGAAGACATTTTGTATACTGTGTTATATTAACTCTTGTGACGTGGTGATGAGCTATGCCACATTGATGATCTTCTGGCCTCAGCTGAGCAATAAACTTGTACTTGTATTATATTCTGCTCAATTCTTTTCGACGAACAAAGAACCATGCAAAATAACGTATATCAGGGCAAGTTCTACTCTGACTGGCAAACCCTGATATTTGTACCCTAAATCTATCCAATCAATCTATAAAAGCAAAATGAGGAGAGATCCTTATTCCTAATCCTACCAACCCAACCAACGAAGGCAACAAGTACTAGCCAATCAGAGGCAGAGTAGGGTGGGTTGTGCTGGATTGTCATCCTAGGAAAAAACTATAAGGCTTTCAGTTCACTACTGAATGATGCACATCAGGAGGGTTTAGAAGTGGGTATACACAATGCTGACTGAAAAATAAGTAGATATATTCCGTAGACTTGCGTGTACCCTCCACCCTTTTTGCAACTATCAGTGGAGACGTACTGTGAGTTGAGCTGCTCTCATTGGCTGGCCTTGGTTTTGACTCATCACAAACAATGGCAGCTCACCTGGTCAAACATTTTCTCGCATTACAAGTAAACCGTATGCTAAAATATGTTTCTGAAATGCAGTAACAGAATCTTGATTCTTATTTAATCAGCACTGCCTAGTTTGACAATTGAGTTGAGTTTTGTGTGGTTCACTGGACGGACTCAATTGATTTACTGAAGAAAAAAAAGTAGAAGTAAAAAAGTACATGACACAGATAATCTGTTAAAAAATCTGGTTCCTCTGACTCCTCCTAGTGCTCCTAATGGCATTAGCAAGAATCCACCGGGCCTGAACAAAAACAACTAATCAGAGCCAAGAAAGATAGTTGATTATTGAGCCTCATACCAGCCCTGGGAATGACACTCAACAATCTTCAACTATCTTCAAGCCCCTAACCCAAAGTGTCTTTCTATCTTTCTTGGCTCTGATCTTTGTTTTCGTTCAGGTCCGGTGGATTCTTGCAAATGCCATTAGGAGCCATGAATTCACAGATTATCTCTTTCATGGACTACTGTCATGAAAGTTATTTTCATAAAAGTTACCTACTGCAGCTTTAAGACACTTGGTGGTTTCACTTCACAGTCCCAAAGCTCTCTTCACTAATTATTTACTGTCAATGTTCGTGACACCAAAACAATGAGCTCAAAGAGGTACTTCTGGTAGACCCAGTGTTGATGGTAATCGTGTTTCCTTTCCAAGTAGAACCTGATCTACCAGTAGAGAGGGAAGTTCCTTCTCGTGTGACGCAGCATGTCTAAATTAGGTAAACCAGCCAAGTGGCCTTTGTGACCTTCTCAGATAATGAGATGATGTTTTTTTTCCTGCTATTTGTTTCTGTGATCTCTACCATGCAGAGAGACTATTTTGCTCCACCCACTGAGGTTTAAATGAGACAATTCTAACCATTTATTTTATAGGGTTTTTTTGACAAATAATCTGAGAGCTAAAACATTCTCTGAAAAAGATCAACTTGCAATATTTTGAGAAAATTTAAATGGAGTCAGTGGGATCATTTCCCCCACTGGCTCTACTTGAGAGATTTTAGTGCTGAAAATGAGACTGAATAACAAACATTTTGTGTGGCTGTGTTCAGCTGAAATGCTTGTGGTGAGATCCCTGTTACATAGAAGTTATTAGTTATTGCTCAGAATCCTCTCAGAGGACAGTAGCCTACAGGATCTTTGTAGGAGGAAGGGATGGGATTTCACCCAGGGGATCTACTCTGGCATGTGTAGACACACAGAAAGCAGAATTTCACAAGAAGCTGACAACAGCCCGGGAGGAACTGTGAAGTCTTGGCCTGTTAGATTTGTGTTTCCTTGAAGATTTTACAAAGTTGTCCAGGACATTATCACCTTTTCTAGAGCTCCTTTTGCTCTAAAATGAATCTGATAGACCAAATAGGTTTTGGATACTGCAGCGGTTTCCTAATGACTTCTCCACTTGGCCCCTTGATGCCTGCATTTATTGACGTTTGAGAAACTGTTCTGCCAATCCTGCACTTCTGTAACTTGCTGAAATTGGACTCTGCTTTGTTGTTTACCAAGCTGGAAGGGATATTAACGCACAGCCTTCTGGGATGTTAAAAAAAGTTACTCGACTGAACAAAAATCCCTTTTCCACCTGATATCACTTGCACCTCAGAATGTGTCCGTGGTGTTTAATAAATAAGTACTCACCTATTTCTGCTTTTCAACATCTTCAGATTTACAATCCCTCCTCTGATGACTTCTGGAGTGTGTTTCATATCCTCTCTGACCCCTCAGCTCTTATTACATTTGCAGGGTGCAGTGGCTAAGTTGTTCAGTGGACACACAGTCACGCACAGCTCCAGCCAACATCGAATGAATCAGACCAGCAGGGATCGCCTTGACAATCATGGTTTTGCATATGGCAAACCTGTTTAAGCCGTAAAAGATCATCCCCATCCTGTGTTCACTGAAGCACATGAAAATGATAATATGCACTTATGCAGCATCATCACAGACTGGATTAGGAGCATAAATGTAAGTGCTCTGAGCCAATAAGCAGCTGGTTATGTTACTCTATTACTCTTAATATAAAACGCTAAATACATAAGTAGATTAGAAAAGTTGTTAAAAAAGGAAAATATGGAAATTTGTATGGTTTTAAACTCTAATCTGCATTTTTTTTAACCAATTCTGAGTTAAAGATGGATACATTATGCATGCATCCCTATATAGCTTTCTGTTTTTTCATTGCTATAACTGTGAATGAGCCACTAGGGATGTGGGACTGGGTCAGGAAATACCGATGTGGAAGGCAGTGGCTCTCCTTAGGATTCCTCTGGCTGGGAGGCCCTCTCTGACTGGCCAGTCTGGAATCTGCAGAAAAGAGGAAACAGGTCGGCTAATGCACCTAGTGATCCCTCTCATCAGACTGCTACAACCTTTCAAAGGCACAGAGAGAGGGAGAGACAGAGAACCAAATACCATTTTTTCCCAGAGAGGAACTAGGGCTCAGCATTCCTGGCATTGCCACTGGCCTCCAAACAATCCATACTCTATCCTGTGTGTGCTGGGAGAGTGAATGGCCACAGTGTGTGAGGCTCACAGGCCCAGTTTGCCCAGCGTAGGGAGAGCGGCCAACGTTGCCGGCGCACTCACAGCTCCGGACACCGGCCCAGCCTCCGTCCCCAGCCACTAAGCCAAACACTGGCATGTCTGAGACGGCACTGTTGAGCCACCGCACAAGCCCAACCGCTGCTGAAAACACACTCCAGAAAATAAACAGGCTGGGCCCCAAGAAGAGCAAATATTTGATCAATCTGAGAAATGGGATGAATGTGCAGAGGTGGTGGAGGAGAGAGAGGAGAGGAGGGGAGGCAGGGATGGCTTGAGATGAAAGGAGTCACCATTGTACCGTTTGGATCACGCTTTTTAAAGTGAAATGCAGCTTAAATGACTGGGTCATTAGCAGCAAGTAATAAAAAAACAAAACATGTATGAAGTTGAGTATAAAGATTAGAGCAAGAGTGGTTTTAAATGTAATGCAGCTAATAATAAAGTCAACACACAGAACTGAGAATATGATGATGTTGTTGACGACCATAAAAACAGTTACAGTATGGACAGTATTGAAAAAATAGATCTGGAGAAAAATGCCTTAAGTTTTGTTGTTAGTTTTTTGTTAAAGTTCCATAGTAACTTGTATATAAAGACATGTGAATCTTTGCTGAATGGCAAAAAGTTTACAGATCAAGGGTGCCCGGTTAACTCAGTCGGTAGAGCTGGGGACCCATGTACACTGAGGCTGAGTCCTTGCTGCAGTTGCCCACGGTTCGAATCCGACCTGCAGCCCTTTGCTGCGTGTCATCCCCACTCTCTACCCCCCTTTCCTGTCTATCTCTGGCTGTCCCTATCAAATAAAGGCCCAAAAAAATGGGTCCGAATGGCGAAAGATGCCAGTGGCCTTGTCCGGGATATTTTTTTGCTTCGTTTTGGTACAGTGGGAGGAAGTGGAGACGCGACGTCCATTTCTTATATGTTGATGGTTCAGATGCATCTTCGCTGGAATCTGTGTGTCTACACCCAAAGTCCCAAAAACATAAAGGACAATTATACAGTATGTTAACACTACAGCTACATAGTATGTTAAACTATTTGTAGCGTTTGTAGAGATATGACTGACTAGTGTTCCAGTGTCTCAAATCCAACTCACTCTACTGGAGTACCGGTTATACTGAGACACACATCCAACAGTTAAATAACATTCCAATTCAAGTAACCGTATAACAAAGATAAGTTTGACGGAAATGTGTTTGTGTTTGTTTGTTAAGCTGTAAATAGGTCAATCATGTTGGACAGAGAGACGTGATTATGACTCAGCTAATCTGAGTGAGTCATTGTGTGGGAGCTGACGCACAGGGATATGTAACACCTACCCATATTCTCGAACATCTTCTGTTCGCCAAACGGATGCATCTGCATGCCAAGTAATATGACCGCTGACTCTAACTCGTCGCCATCAGATTGGGCTGTTTATTTAAAATGAGCATGATATCTGTAAAGGTGGAAGAAATGTTGTTTGTGTGTAAGAATAAAAAAATAAAAACAAAAATTCCAACTTCAAAGGAGAACATGAAGTAAGTGTTCATAAAAAATAACCCTTCCCTTACTTAGACCTATAGTTTGTTAACACCTAACCAAGACCTTAACAAGTTTGCAAAGACCTTTTTCACGGCAGATATTTTGACTTGTCAAAGTAGGAAAAGCACAGGTGCAAGCAATAACATTACAATGGCTCTGTACCATTAAGTGTCCTAGTAACCCAGTGAGTGAGCATGCACAATACCAGAGCCCTGAAACTGGCTCCCCTAAATGGAACGCAGCCATCATTCATGTTATTTATTCAACCTGTGCTTTTGTCTGAGTTGTGCTGTAGTACATGGTTGAGAAAAATTATCTCAACTAGTTCATGTCCACAGCCCGCACTGTGCGTTTCAGTGTTCATTGATATGCTTATTTCACTTACTTGCTTTCATGTCTGTGTGTTAAGTATGGAGCTAGATTAGCTTGGCTTAAAGCATAAAGACTTGAAGCAGGAGAAAACGGCTAGCCTGGGTCTCCCCAAAGTTTAAAAATGTTTAACAAAAGGCTGTTTAATCTGTACTCAAAAAGAAATGTCAAAACGTCAATTAGTGGTGTTAAGTTAAGTGCTGGAACTATTTCTCAGCTAATGACGACGATAATGAATCTACCCGCCTTCTGTGCAACGTGTCTGCTGACTGCCTGGCAACCTCACCATGACAACAACAACCTGGGAGGTCAAGAGTTAAATGAGAAGACTGATACCACAGTCATGTCTGTGCATCAAGTATGCACCTAGAGCCAGCAGGCAATTAGTTTAGCTTAGCATAAAGACTGGAAAAAGGGAGAAACAGTACGCCACCCAACACCTCTAAAGCTCAATCACTACTATATGCTGTAACTATATTGGTGGGGGTTGATGTATCTTGTCACTTTGGACAGGGCCAGGCTAGCTCTTTCAATCTGCTTCCAGTCTTTATGCTAAGCTAGGCTAATCACCTCTTAGGTCCAGCATCAAACTTAATGAACAGATATGAGAGTGGTATCTTTCTCTAACTCTCTGCAAGAAATCAAATGCATGTTTTTCACAGAAGTGCAGTTATTATTTTGGTTCACTGAAACATTATATTTTAAATATCTTTGTTGCCCATTGCACTTCAAAATTTTGAGGACGACACTGTTTGTTTTCCATAGACCTTCACTCAGTCTGTCGATGGTGCTGTTTTTGTCGGTTCAGCCATGGAAGTTTCTCTCCATGTATGGAGAGGAGCAAATAGGAAAGCCTTCATGACTTGTCTGCATCAATTTAGTCTTTTCAGCTGGCTCTTGAGAGCAGAGAGACAGATTTTGTGCATATGAAAATGTCACAGTTATTATCTCAGCATGTTTCTGGGAGCACAATTGATCGCATAATTGTCTGTTTACCTTATGATCATCAGCAACTGGAGTTTATAGTTTCCTCTCTTTTCATTTACGACTTTATTTCTGGCTATGACGGACTGTAGGAATCCACTGTGACTGCATCAGCGAGTTTCAGCTCTAACATTCAGCCACAGCTACAGAGCCGATCTAAGGTTTATCTGACATGTGAACAGGGGATGTGATTTACCTTTTCCCCGGGCCGAACCCGCAGAGGTTTTGATGGAAACAGAAGCAGGCCTGTCCTTCCCCACATGGCCATATCACATGTCATTCCCCCCTTGCTCACAGCGAGTCAAACTGAAGCCCTTGCCTTGTGGCTCATCCATCAACCCCACCCCCCCCCCCCCCGACTCCTCCTCAGCATGGAGCCCTGATGCCATTGCCTGCTGAGCTGTATTTCATTGGGAAACATCAACACTGCCAGTGAAATGTTGCTTCTCTTTGCGAGTCTTCATATACAGTGTGTAACTCTGGGAAACCCAATTGAGGGGAAAATGAGCCCCAGCGCTAGCAGGCAGGAGGCATATGCAGTGTGCTTAAAATAATACGTTTTTAGACCTGATGTTTTATGAGAGTCGACTCACACATCTTATACCTTGCAAATTCCATCAGGATCCTTTGAAGTAAAATGTGAAATCTTGCACATACCTACTTACCTGTGTGATTTCTTCTAGGGGTTTCTCCGAGAGCATATTTCATGCTCAGGAATGGCAAGTAATGAAAGGCTGGGACATTTTTCGAAATCCGAATAATTCCAAATCAAGCAAACATCCCTCCAAATTTTTCCCACTTTTTTATCCGCAGTTCGCAGACTCATGGTTGTCTTGGACCAAAACAAAGCTTTCTTTTGCCCATCCTGGCTGCTGTCTGCATATCGTTTGGCTGTGGTTGAAATCAGCGGACAACCAGATGTGCTTTTTTGAGGGGGGGTTGTGACTAATATGGAGTGGACCTAATGGGGAAGCATGGTATACCTGGTCTGTGAGGCTCAGATTATTATATAACACTGTTATATAAGCTGCCGGAGGCCAACTGATAAACAAGGCCCACTATACAGTATTAGCCCAGCTGGGTGCATTGAAGGGAAGGGAGTGCCTGGAGGGTAATAAATCAATCATTTGGGAAAATTTACAACTCTCAAGTGGAGAGCTGATGTGGTCGGCCGTGACGATGTCTGCTATTGCTGATTTCACTTTCGAAGCCAAAGTGAGCGCCTGGTAATCAAAGCCACAAGGGATCGGCACTCAAGTCATTTTGGGCTAAGAAGATCCATATGCCAGGAGCAGGGGCCAGACATTTCC